AACCTCCTCATGTCCCCGCAGGGTGAGAGCCCTCTCATGATGAAGCTGGAAGGGCACTGGGGCAAAGTCCTGGTCCTGACTCAGCTTTTCCATTTGTCTATCACCAGGGCAGGTGCTGAGTGCCCATGTGTCAGGCCGGGTGGTGATGAAGAGCTACCTGAGTGGCATGCCTGAGTGCAAGTTTGGGATGAATGACAAGATTGTCATTGAGAAGCAGGGCAAAGGCACAGCTGATGAAACAAGCAAGAGGTGCCTGAGGCCGGGGAGTTGGTGGGAGAGGGTGGACCTTGGAGGGCTGAGGGGGTACTGGTGAATCACAAATTCTTTCTGGACATCATTTCTGCAGTAAGGGTGTGCTTGGCTGGTTGCTCTTTATATCTGTGCTTAAGAGAGATGAGAGGATTGTCCTCATCCTACTCAGAGAGTAAGCCCCTTTGTTTGGTCCCCAGGACCAAGGCTGTTCTGAATATACTGATGGCCTCTGCCCACTGTGCCTGAAACCTCTAGGTCCCAAGCAGCAAAGCTCCTACTCATCCCTAACCCTAGAGCAGAGACCCTTACGTCAGAAAGCTGCATCATGGCAGCTTTTGATAGTGTATAATGGAAACCTCACCCAGGATCTGGTAGCCTTTGTGGGTGGGGTAGCCTCCCAGCCTGACTCTCTCCTGCCACTCTCCTGTACCAATGAGACTTGCTGCCCCTTCTTGCAGTGGGAAGCAATCAATTGCCATTGATGACTGCACCTTCCACCAGTGTGTGCGACTCAGCAAGTTTGACTCTGAACGCAGCATCAGCTTCATCCCACCAGATGGAGAGTTTGAGCTCATGAGGTGCCACTGGGGTGTGAGGAGGCAAGGGCAGAAAGTGGGGAGAGGGAAGAGGACAGGCTCTGCTATGCCAACCTTGCTCCCTACTCCTAAAGGTATCGCACTACCAAGGACATCATCCTTCCTTTCCGGGTGATCCCGCTGGTGCGGGAAGTGGGGCGCACCAAGCTTGAGGTCAAGGTGGTTATCAAGTCCAACTTCAAGCCTTCACTACTGGCTCAGAAGATTGAGGTGAGGACAAGGGACTTGGGGAGGAAGAAGCACTTGTCTTCAGGAATAAAGATAGCTGATGCTGGGGCTTGACAGAGCTCCCTGACAGGTGTGTCACTTCTAGGTGAGGATCCCAACCCCACTGAATACAAGTGGGGTGCAAGTGATCTGCATGAAGGGGAAGGCCAAGTACAAGGCCAGTGAGAACGCCATCGTGTGGAAGTGAGTCTTTCCTTCATGAGGCTACAGCAGGGCTTAAGAAGCCTTGGTGTGCCCTCTTGTTCAGTTTTACCTTCTATACTCTGATTGTGTATGTGTTTTTGGAGGGGAGTGCCTATTTGCTTCTCCAGGAGCCTCTACTTGCTCTCACCCTCTGTACTTCTGTGTGAGTGTGCACATATTTGTACTTGGGTGCATACCTACATTTATCAAGATGCTTTAATGTTTTCCCATTTGCCCTTATGTCTGTGAAGTAGACAGTAGGGGATGGCATGCCCATGTTATCTCAGCAGAAACTGCTGCCAACAGTGCTAAAGGAATAGCAGATCCAGGATTCCATAGCAAGTGTTTATCAAGGTCTTCACCACATTTTCTTGTCCCAGCACCTCCCACAATCTCCTGGGTTCACGACCCCCTACCCCTTTGAAATTCCTCCAAGCTACCAGGGGCACTTGCTGCCCATTACTCCTGTGTTCCCAGGATCAAGCGCATGGCGGGCATGAAGGAATCACAGATCAGCGCAGAGATTGAACTCCTGCCCACCAATGACAAGAAGAAGTGGGCTCGACCCCCCATTTCCATGAACTTTGAGGTATGGCAGAGGAGGGCCTAGATTAATAGCAGGGTATGCTAGGAAAGATCTTAGAGATCATTCATATCAATCTCTACCTTACTACCAGCAGATGAGGAAACTAAGGCCTAGAGAAGGGAAGTGACTTTAATTCCTAGATCCATTTCTTTCCCTTTCAGGCCTCCAACCAGAAATTGCTGTTCAGACTAACACAAACCTCTGCCTTCTTTTGGCTTGTTGTAAGATAATTCTTTGGAAAATTCTAGATTACTTGAATGCCTGATAAGACACAAAGTTTACTTACAGACAGAAAAATGGGCTGACTTTGCTTTGTGCAAATTATATGTTAGACATAGTTTCTCCACCTTATTTTTTAAGTCCTTAATACTGAGCAGGATAAGTATGTTCTAAGGCAGGTCTTTGGTTGCTGCTTTCTACACATTAATTGATTCAAGTTATCACATGCAGGGCCTGACTTCAAACCCAAATGATTACAGCTTACTCTTGGATATGCTTTCTTCTTCAGTAACCTCTTAGAGGACCCCTCACTACCCCAGCTTCTTTCAGGATTCCAGTCATTCATTCACCTGTAGTAAAGAGAGATGAAGTAGGGCAGGACTATTGAACTTCCCAGAAGAGACAGGCTGTGACTGGAAGGCCACATTCCTAACTGGAGCTGTCCCTTGCCCAGGTGCCATTCGCGCCCTCTGGCCTCAAGGTGCGCTACTTGAAGGTGTTTGAACCGAAGCTGAACTACAGCGACCATGATGTCATCAAATGGGTGCGCTACATTGGCCGCAGTGGCATTTATGAGACCCGCTGCTAGCTGCCTAGTGGCAGCTAGCCCGCCTCCCCATCCACCCTATTCCACAGGTCCAAGTGCCCCAGCCACCACACATCAGTGTCTCCTCCCTCCTGCTTTGCTGCCTTCCCTCTGCACCAGCCCCTGAGTCTAGGTCTGGACCAATCACGTCGAAAGCAGTACCAGTGGAGCTGTCCCTGGGCTCCCTGGGCAGGGTGGTTTCTGGGGCTCCTGCTTCTCCATCCATCTGTCTGCCCTGGCCCAGTGCCAGGCTCAGTGAGTTCTGTGACCAAAGCCAGGTGGGCTTCTTCTCCCCTCCCTTGTAGCCACATCTCTCAAGTGGGAGGGTTGGCTGCCTCTCACCTCGGAGCTCCCCCAACAGCTAGTAATGAATCCCTAGCCCTCAGTCCCAATTCTGCTTTGGGATAGTGTGAGCTTCATTTTGTACACGTGTGACTTTGTCCAGTTATAGACCCAATAAACTGTAGAGCGGAGTTGCTGGCTAAGTGTTGATGCGGGAGCTAAATGGGGAGGGGAACTGGTGGAACCACTCTTCCCATATTTTACACTGCTCGCTTTGAGTAGAATTTTCTGTTATGAATTCTCAAGGCTTCTAGCCTTGTCTAGGGCTCAATTGTTAGGCCCCTCCAAGGCCATCCAGTCCCTAATCATGACTTGTGTTAACCCCAGGACTCCTGTCTGCTCTGAAAAGAAAACCACTTCAAGGGAAGCATCCCCACCAGGCCCTGGTTTCTTGAGGGTAGAGATTCTTTCCCTAATTCACTCTTAGCTTTAGGCAGGTCTTTTCTAATTAGCAGAGATTAAGCAAAATTGACAGGGTCTTTTTCAGCCTTCCTGAAAAACTGACTGACCTCTTAATTTCATTCCCCTCCCATTTTTCCAGGCTTCCCAAACCTTGGTAGGTGGGTGATAAAAAGGAATATTTGACTCTCCAGGGCTCTTTAAAAATTCCTCCCTCTATACCTCTCCCTCTTCAAAGAATCTTATGGCAAGCTAGTGCCTGGAGGTGGGGGTGGGGAATAATGTTCCATAGTCAACTGGTGGCTTGGAGCAGATAAAAGAGCAGATTTACCCTCACCAGTTTTCTTTTGCTTGGTTTCAGCCTTTTTGAACCTCAAAAAATCTATTAGAAAATTTAAAAAACAACTAGCAAAATATAATGAACCCTCATGTCCCATCATCCAAATTTGACAATTATCAACTCACGACCAGTTCCTTAATATCACATCCAGTCTGTGTTCACACTTAATCCAAGTGTCCAATAAAATTTTTACAACTTGCATCTGGATCCAAACAAGGTCCATTGTAGTTGGGGAATGCTTCTTACATTTTATAAACCGCTGGTTCTCCCCTCAGCTCTTACAGTGTTGTTGAAGAAACCAGATATTTTTGTAGTTTTCCCGTCAGAATTCTACTTTCTCATGTTTTTACTATAAAGTGATTATTAGATCTAGAGGCTTAATAGCTTTTATAGTTTTATTTTAAATATCAGGATTGACAGATTACTCACAGATGAATTAATGATGTAATTTTAGAGAGGGGTTGGACTAGTGTTCACGTAAAGCAGTAGCATCATTAACTTCTACCTGAGAATCAGTGAAAGGAAGTAGACTTTTAGAGTCACTGAGATTCAGGCTGCAGAGAAATCTGCTTTGGGTTTAGGTACAGAATAAACACCAGTGAATTTACACAGATCGTGTTGTCAATCTGGTTTTCTTGACCTTTGGCGGTGAGTGAGGCTGTGCCTTAGGGTGGTGGGAGGACTGAACAGACATAATTTACTGAGTTGCAAGACACGGGCAAGCGGGCTACCAGGCTGAGACAAGGCCACGAACGTTTGAAACAGTAACAAAACCTGCCACTGCACAAAGTGCGCAAGGGGCTCTTGAGGGCTCAGGAACAAGCATGAGTCAGCAAAGATCTCAGCTGGCTCCAAAATGGACCCGCTTGAGAACGCAGACTTGCAAAACCAATGTGCTTTATCTACCGCCGGTCTCCCGGGAGGTTTCCACCCGCTAGACCTTTAGCATTCGATTTCCTTGGCTTCTCGGCGCCCCGCCCGCCTGCCGGATCTCCACCTCCCAGAAGGCAGCAAGGACCGCACATGTGGCTAATTTTTCAGCGGAAAAGGCGTTGCGCAAGCGCAGAGAGGGCAGCTCCGGCGTAGATGCTGAGCGGCGCTTGCGCATGGTTCCTTCTGTCCCGTTCACCCCGCCCACCGGGTTCCGCGCACTCCGCGCCTTGCTTAAGTTACCACTACGCATGCGCCGTGGAAGGAGCGACGCACTTTCAGGGGAAGGGCAGAGGGTGGGCCTTGGCCTGGGTCTCACCGCGACTGCGCGGAAGGGAACCCGACTGGAACATGGCGACTTGCGCTGAAATCCTGCGGAGCGAGTTTCCCGAAATTGACGGACAGGTCTTCGACTACGTGACGGGTGAGCCCAACCGAATCAACGCGCTGAGGAGGCCAAAGTGGAAGTCGGGTGGGAAAGACTAAGCAGAGGGCAGTGCGGGGGTCGCTGCTAGGCCTCTCCTCTGTGTGACCTCGTCCCGAGGGCGGGATGGGTCTGGATCCCGGACTAGGGTAGAGGTTTCGGGGCTAAATTCCTTGTACGTCCACCCTACCCGGTATCTTCCTCGACCTGCTACGCCTGGCCCAGGCGTCTTGCACAGCGGCAGCGCGGACTTCGAGTCTGTGGACGACCTGGTGGAAGCTGTGGGGGAACTGTTGCAAGAGGTGTCCGGGGACAGTAAGGATGACGCGAGTATCAGAGCCGTGTGTCAGCGGATGTACAACACTCTGCGCCTGTACGTGCCAGGGCAGGGGGATTTGTGGGGTGATGAGAGGGAGGACGGTCAGGAGACTGGAGGTGAGGGAATAAGGTCTGATGTCCACTGAGCTTTTTATCAACTCCTAACTCTATGCTTTCCGTCCCTGCCGTCAAGGGCTGAGCCACAGAGCCAGGGAAACAGCCAGGTGCTGCTAGACGCCCCTATCCAGTTGTCAAAGATAACGGAGAACTACGGTGAGAGTGAGGGAAGATTGAATTAGCTATCCTCTCCTTTTTCTCAGCCTCAAGGCCCCAGCCACCTGCCTCCTGGAGCTCAGAACTCCTGGTACCTCTTTTCCATAGGACAAGATTGTAGAAGCTAGTTGATGTCTTAACTGAAGGCAAAAGAGCCCATTGATGAAGGGAGTAGGGTTGGAGGGTTCTCCAAGCTCTTGGCAATGGTAGGAAGCATATGGGCTTTGGAGCTGGATAAACTTGGATTCACCCCCACCCCCCCCATTTTGTGACTTACTAACCAACCGCATGCTCTTGAAAGAGTTGCTTATATGCCCCAGCCTTGTATCCTTTATCTGAGATTTTTTAAGTGCGGGGAGGAGGATAGTTGTCTGTCTTCAGTATTGTAAGGCTTTCCTGAAAATGTCTGTGTCTGGTTTGTATTAGTTACTCAAAATATTAGTTTCCCTTCCATCAGGGAGAAGGTGACTGCTTTTCTTATCGTCTACAGACTGTGGCACCAACCTTCCAGGACTGCTGAAGAGGGAACAGTCTTCGGTGAGGATGAGGAAGAAAGGAGGGGGGACTATTTATGGTCGGGGTAGGAGTTGACTGTCTCTAAATACTGGAATATCTTTCTGGGGGATTTCTGATTATGTATTTTCCCGAGTCTTTAATTCTGTTCATCATGTGTAAATTGAGAGGGTTAATTTGAGGTGTGCTCTCTGGGGTTTCCTTTCTGAGCCTACATCCTAAGGTGAAATGGTTTTGTTTGGACTCTTAGACAGTGAATGCAAAGAAGCTAGAGAAGGCTGAGGCTCGACTAAAGGCAAAACAGGAGAAACGCTCAGAAAAGGACACACTCAAGACCAGCAACCCTCTGTGAGTTTATGGGTTAAAAGAGCAGAGCCATCTACAGGGATGGAAGGGTGGTTGAGAATGCCAAAAGCCATCCATTTTTTCCTTTAAAAGAGTCTTGGAAGAGGCATCAGCCAGCCAGGCAGGCAGCAGAAAAGAGAGTCGGTTGGAATCATCTGGCAAGAACAAATCCTACGATGTGCGAATTGAGAACTTTGACGTGTCTTTTGGCGATAGGTAAGGAAATGGCAGTGGGAGGTATGATGTTTCCCCTTTTCCAATTAAAGGAGAATTTGGAGAAATGAAATGGGCCTAAAAATAATGTTAGATTTCTGTTGTTAAACTTGTAGTACACCTGTGTCTAGTGTACTCTTTGTCTTCTTCCTGCTATCCCTGCAGGGTACTGCTGGCTGGTGCAGATGTGAACCTGGCATGGGGCCGCCGCTATGGGCTGGTGGGTCGGAATGGGCTGGGGAAGACAACACTGTTGAAGATGCTGGCCACCCGGAGCCTGCGAGTTCCAGCCCATATTTCCCTGCTGCATGTAGAGCAGGAAGTTGCTGGAGATGACACCCCTGCCCTGCAGAGTGTGCTGGAGAGTGACACTGTGCGAGAAGACCTCCTGCAGCGAGAGCGGGAGCTCAGTGCCCAGATTGCTGCTGGCAGGTGAAGGTTCCGGGTTATGGAATAACTAGCAGCAGCTGTCCTTCACAGAGTGCCTGCCATACTGTCATAATCCATAATTCGCATGCCCATCCCAGTAAGCAGCCAAGCTTAGAACTTAGCACTGAGAGGCTCTCAAGCCCTTGTTCCTTCCACAGTGCCCAAGGCCCTCAGTGCTGTGACCAAGTTCTTCCTATATTCTGTTCTTTTGCCAGCAACAAGGCAGCCAGTGGTCTGCTTTCCAACTGCATGGGGTGCAGGACATTCTCTTGGACTGCCCTTAACTCTCACTGATTTCTCTTACCCAGTTTCCATTCCTACCCTAGGGCTGAGGGCTCAGAATCTGCACAGCTGGCAGAAATCTATGCCAAATTGGAGGAGATTGAGGCTGACAAGGCACCTGCTAGGTATTTGCAATTCCCCCTTCCTTTCTTTACATTTCTTCACCTTTCCCTTCTGTACCTGTTCCAACTGGGTTCTTCAACTTCTTCACTTCTAGGGCATCAGTCATTCTTGCTGGACTTGGCTTTACCCCTAAAATGCAGCAGCAGCCCACCCGGTGAGTGGCCCTTGCCATTCTTGAATCTGGATACTGTTGGCTCTGCCCCTGCCGGTGCTGGTGGGCACCCACCTCTCATGCAACTCTGTATTTCTTCAGGGAGTTCTCAGGTGGCTGGAGAATGAGACTGGCCCTGGCCCGGGCCCTGTTTGCCAGGTGAGTCTTCTGAGCCTATATATGGATACTATGGAGGATGGTTCTTGGCATTTAGGAGGTAGCAATGAATCTCTCACCTAAAATCCCAAGCCTTGCATTCTTCTTTTCCATAGGCCAGATCTTCTGCTCTTAGATGGTGAGTTTGAAATGGGGCACCCTAACTTCAGGGTGGGGAAAGATGGCAACATCCAAGTTTCTAGTTTTCCAGTCCTTCAACCCCAAACATGTGCACTTTTCCAGAACCCACAAACATGTTGGATGTAAGGGCCATCCTTTGGCTGGAGAATTACCTGCAGGTGAGTGCCGATAAGTGCTGGAGTAGATTTAGGGAAAGTCAGCCTCTAGGACACCTGGGGCCTGGGAGCTGACTGCCCTCCCAAACTGGGACTGCTGTCCTGTGACCCCCTCAGACATGGCCCTCTACAATTCTGGTCGTCTCCCACGACCGAAACTTCCTGAATGCCATAGCCACAGACATCATCCACCTGCACAGCCAGCGACTAGATGGTTACCGGGGAGATTTTGAGACCTTTATCAAGACTAAGCAGGAGCGGCTACTCAACCAGCAGCGTGAATACGAGGCACAGCAGCAGTATCGCCAGCATATCCAGGTGTGGGAACAGGCAGGGCTGAGGGTCTCATTCCATGGGTATTAGAGTTACAGGGAATGAGGGAGCCTGACCAGTGCCTGCACTCATCTACCCACAGGTTTTCATTGACCGGTTTCGCTACAATGCCAACAGAGCCTCTCAAGTACAAAGTAAACTTAAGATGCTGGAGAAGCTGTGAGTACAATGACCTTGACTGGGCCCTGACTCCTGTTCTCTCTATTTCTTGCTTCATTTTGCAAGCCACCCTAGCCCTCCCACTCTAGGCCTCCCCTTTTCTAGAAGTAGAATGGTTTTTTTTAACTTGTTTGTTTTTTGTTTTGTGTGATTTTTATGTTGTTGTTAATCTTCACATGAGGATATTTTTCCACTGACTTTTAGATAGTGATACAGTGGAAGGGAGGGAGGGAGGGGGGTTAGAGAGAGAAACGTCATTGTAAGAGAGACACATTGACTGGTTGCTTCTCATATGACCCCAACTGGGGCCAGGCATCAAACCTACAACCCAGGTATGTGCTCTTGACTGGGAATCGATCCCCTGACCCTTCAGTCCACAGGCCAACACTAACCACTGAGCAAAACTAGCCAGGGCACGAAAGTACAATGTTTTTACTGTTCTCAGAGAATTGATCCTGCCCCCAGCCTAGGCAACCACTTTCTGTCTGTATATATTTGCTTATGCTGAACGTTTCATATAAATGGAATCATATCGTGTTACCTTTGTGTCTGGCTTCTTTTGCTTAGCATAGTGTTTTTGAGGGTCATCTATATCATAGCGCGTATTAGTACTTCATTCCTTTTTATGGCCAGATAATATTCCATTGTATGGATAATACCACATTTTGTTTATTGATTCATCAGTTGACGGACATTTAGATTTTCTTTTTTTGTCCTTTTTGAATAATGATGCTATGAACATCTATGTACTAGTTGCTGTGTGGACACATGTTTTCTATTTTTGGGTACAAATGAGTACAAAGTTAGGAATGAAATTGCTAGATTACATGGTAGGTAATTCTATGTTTAGTTTTTTGAGGAACTGCCAAAGTTTTTTCAAGCAGCTGTACTATTTTACATTACTACCAACACGGTATGAGGGTTCCAATTTCTCCATACCCTTTGTCCACATTTATTAGCTTGTTTTTTTTGTTTTTTTAATCCTCACCAAAGGACATGTTTAGAGAGAGAGAAACTTCAGTCAGTTGCCTTCCATACGTACCCTGACTGGGAACTGAACTGGCCACCTTTTGATACACAGGACGACCAACTGAGCCACTCCAACAGGCTGTCTTTAATTTTAGCCGTTGTAGTGGGTGTTACTTGTTATCTCATTGTGATTTTGATTTACATCCCTTAATGAAGGTTTCATCTTGAAGCAACCTTTCTAGAAGTACTGGTGGTAGAAGAGCCTAAAATCATAAGGTTTAGGATTTTGTGACATTGAAACATATATCATATGTTAACTAGGACAAAAAGCTGAAAAAAGGATAATCCTGGGTTTTTTTCAGCATATTAGTAAACTAGAAGAATGTACAGTCATGTGCTGCTTACTGTTAGGGATACAGTCTGAGAATTATCATTGGGAAATTTTGTCACTGTGCAAACATCATAGAGTACACTTACACAAACTTGGATGCCGGTAGCCAACTCCACACCTAGGCGGTGTATGGTATAGCCTATTGCTCTTAGCCTACGGGTCTGTACATCGTGTTATTATGCTGAATACTGTAGGCACCTGTAACACAATAGTAAGTATTTGTGTATCTAAACATTAAAAAGGTACAGTAAAATACAGTATAAAAGATAAAAAATGATATACCTGTATAGGGCACTTCACCATGAATGGAGCTTGCAGGACTGGAAGTTGCTCTGGGTGAGTGGGTGGTGAGTAAATGTGAAGGCCTAGGATTATTACTGTACACTACTGTAGATTCTGTAAACACTTCATTTAGGCTACACTGAATTCATAAAACAACATGAAATTAAATCAAGCATAAGAGAAAATGATGTAATCGAAATATGGTAAACACAAGATGTTTACAGCAAACTTTTTTAATAAGTAGAATACGTTTCAGATAATGGTAAGAAGTATAGTATAATAAATACATAAACTAGTAACACAGTCATTTATTATCAAGTAATATATGCTGTACATAATTATATGTGCTGTAGTTTATACGACTGACAGTGTAGTAGGTTTATTTACACCAGCATCACCACAAACACATAAGGAATGCATTGTACTATGATGTTATAACTTGGCTCTGAAATCACTTAAGCAGTAGGAGTTTTCAGCTCCATTATAACCTTATGGGACCACCTTCATGTATGGGGTCTCTTGTTAGCCAAAACGTTGTTATATAGTACATGATTGTACTTGAAAATTATGTTATTTGGGTGGTGGGAGTACAAGTTTTTTCTAAATTTTCTCTGAACATACATTATTTGTGTGTTGGAACAAATAAAAGTTATAAATCTAGAGTGCCCCCTCTCTCCTCAGGCCAGAGCTGAAACCCGTGGACAAGGAGTTGGAAGTAGTGATGAAGTGAGTGCTGGGCCAGAGGGGCTGGTGGGAAGCTCTTGTTTCTGGCCACCTCAGTGCTCTTCACCTCCACCTCCCCTCCCATAGGTTCCCTGATGGGTTTGAGAAGTTCTCACCACCAATTCTGCAACTAGATGAGGTGGATTTCTACTATGATCCTAAACACGTCATCTTCAGCCGTCTCTCTGTCTCTGCTGATCTTGAGTCCCGCATCTGTGTGGTATGGTTGCTGTTTCTCTGTTTCATGAGCTGGGACTCTCCCACCCCAATATGTGCTGTGGATTGGCTACAGAGGGAAGAGATCCACTGGAGCAGGGGTCAGGGCCTCAGCCAAGGACTTTGCTGTACTTATGCTGTCCCCAGCCTCCAGCCTCAGGCCTGCCCTGCAGATACCAAAGCCTGGCATGTGGTACTTTATGAATATTTGAAGCACTATTTTATTTTACTGGTCTCTGCTCTCAGTTTTCTCAAACTATGGAACATAGAGGAGAGCATAGGCTTCAGGGTCAGACTCTACCATTTTCTAACTTTGTTACTAAATAGTTTTCTCATCTTTATAATGGAGATAACTTCTACCTTCATTGGGTTTTGGGGAGAATTAAATCCCCAGCACTTAATAGATACTCAGGTATTAGTTTCTCTTCACATTTACTACTTCCTTCATTTTTCTCTTTTGTGTCTTCTTTTCTTTTTAAATTTTAAATTTTTTTGTTTGTTTGTTTTTGTTAATCCTCACTGAAGGATTTTTTTTTTTAATTGAGTTTTAGATAGAGTAGGAGGGAAAGAGGGAGGGAGACATTGAAGTGAGAGAGATATATCGATTGGTTTCCTCCCACTCCACCCTAACCAGGGCCAAGGATCAAACCTGCACCAACCCAGGTACATGCTCCTGATCAGGAATTGAACCTGAGACCCTTCAGTCCACAGGCCAACGCTCTAACCTCTGAGCCAAACCAGCCAAGGCTTCTCATGTTTCTTAAAAATATTTTAGTTGTTGAAAGAGTCATTGAGACTACCCAAGTCCAATTCTCAATTCCTTCCCTCTGTATCCTACACTCTTTAAAGTTCTTGTGTTTCTGCTTTAGGTTGGGGAGAATGGGGCTGGGAAGTCTACTATGCTGAAGCTACTTATGGGAGACTTAACACCTGTTCGGGGCATCAGACATGCTCACAGGTAGGACCCACACCTTCACTCTCCAACTACTCACACACTTATAGCTACACTCTTTATGGTCATTGCTTTTCATCTCCTCTTCCACCTTTATTTCTTCCTGCAGGAATCTGAAGATTGGCTATTTCAGCCAGCACCACGTGGAGCAGCTGGACCTGAATGTCAGTGCTGTGGAACTGCTGTCACGCAAGTTTCCTGGTGTGTTAGGGATTGGAGTTGAGGAAAGAGGGCCGGGGCTGCTGCCTACAGTTAGGCCTACATTGGGAAGGTGCTGAGCAGCCTACCCAAGTCTAGGTGTAAGGACAGGGGCATTTAGAGGTGGGGCAGGGAAGAGGGTGAAGGGAGGGAGTTGGGCCATGATGGGATGGGGCCTATTCCAGGTCGGCCTGAGGAGGAGTATCGTCACCAGCTGGGCCGGTATGGCATCTCTGGAGAACTGGCTGTGCGCCCTGTTGCCAGCTTGTCTGGGGGCCAGAAGAGCCGGGTGGCCTTTGCTCAGATGACCATGCCCTGGTGAGGCCTCATTTTGTGGAGTTCTTACCCTCCTCTGCCCCACTTTTGCCTAATAGAAACCGATTCTCTTGTCTTTGTATCAGAGGAGTTCATGGTTTCTGCCACCCCCCATAACTGTCCAGCTTCCTGGGTTCTGTCTTCCAGCCCCAACTTCTATATTCTGGATGAACCCACAAACCACCTGGATATGGAAACAATTGAGGCTCTTGGCTGCGCTCTCAACAATTTTAGGGTGAGTGTGTCATCATACTGCCCACTCCTCCCCAGGCCTCAGTACTCCTTAGCATGCCCCCCCCCCCAATCCTCCTGAGTGCCTCTGATCTCCTGTCTTTCAGGGTGGTGTGATTCTGGTGTCCCATGATGAGCGCTTCATCAGGCTGGTGTGCCAGGAGTTGTGGGTGTGCGAAGGAGGCGGTGTCACCCGGGTCGAGGGGGGATTTGACCAGTACCGTGCCCTTCTCCAGGAACAGTTCCGCCGTGAGGGCTTCCTTTAGGCCCAATAGACTGAGGACTATGCCCAGGACATGGACTGGTCTCTCAGACCCCTGGGCCATCATGTAGGCAACCATCTCCAGGCCATGGACCTCCTCTGACTTTGGGGATAGCCTTATCCCAGATCTCTCCTTTTTACTGGAGCATGCTCTGCACAATCCAAGGAGCCTCATCTAATGGTCTGTGAGAACTGGTCTTCTAAGTGGAAGGGGTGAGGGTTGCCCTCTGGGGTTATAGATCCCCCCACTGCCCCAGCTCTGACTGGGCGCCAAGTGGCTGCTGTGTAAATTAAATCTTCCTGGCCTCACTTTGCTGTTCCCTGGCAGGGCTGCACTATGTTAAGGGGTGTGGACTCTCTGATTTGGCATTCTCCTATGACATTTGTATCACAAGGAGGAAGTTATGGCATCACCAGCCTTGTCCCTGGAAAGAGACATCATTAAAGCTGCTGGGGTACAGAAGTCACCTGCCTGACCTTGCGATGGGCTGGGCTGTTTGAATGAAGGGCAGTGTGTTATATCACTGTAGTGCTGGTCCCTGTATCCTGGGCTCAGCCTCAGCTGAAGGGGTCTTGAGTTCTGCTGTCTCTGCCTCACTGCTTGGGAGAGTGAACTGATTCTGTAATCTTGCTTTGACATGGTTTGTCAAGTGCTTTCTCCCATGGTCTCTGGCCCAGGCTCACCCTCCTCTGATCTGGACCTTCAGAAGAGGCTGAAGAGAAATTGTCTTTGTCCTCGTTTTGCTTGCGTGGTGTCTATTTATCCTCTAATCAAGTCGGAGGGACTGGGAAGTAGGGAATTGAAAATGGGGTCTAATGGGAAGAAATAGAGCACTGTGTTTTCAAATTAAGCAGTCTTCAAGGGGGGCAGTGTTTAACAGGGGTAATATGAGTTACAAATATTATTTCTCAAGGGCTTAGCTGCTGTATGTTATTGCTATGCAGAAGACACAAACAGAGACATTGAGTTGCTCTTGGAGATAATGGAGAAAACCACAATCAACAGAAGGCACTTGCTGGCTTCGTGGAAATTACAGTCACAAAGTTCAACCAAGGAATTTTAACTCAGCTGATGAAGTTATTGTGTAGGTAGCTGGGAGAGAAATGCCCCTTTTGGAGTAAAAGAGAATAAAGATAGGAAGGTTTTGTTGATTTACCACAGAACAGGCAGTGATGGATGGATGAAACCAGCAGAAGAGACATGAATCGACCTGCCTCCTCAGCCTTCCTCATTCCCTTTCAGAAGTCCAGAGGAGATGTTCTCCCAGCTCTGCAGCTATGTGCATCTTCACACTCCTGAGAGCCTTCTCACAGCCCCTATCCCTTTCCACCAACTTCAGACCAGCAGATGAGCCAGTCAAAGTCCATCTGGTGGGTGATCTGTGCCTACCTGTTTGCCAGGCTCAACCCCTTTCCCCCTCACAAGCTTGTGAATCCTGATACGAGGTCTCCCAACTCCTTAGCGTCAGTGGGAGTGCAACTGAGGGGTTCTGTGACAGAATCTCCTTCTTTTGGAGGTAGGTGACATTGTACAAAGAGTACTCGAGTTGGGTCTAGTGCCATTACTGGTGATAGAAGGGGTCAGCACTGTAAGAAATATTAGCTGAGTATGGAGTCACTTAACCTTTTTTTTGTTTTGTTAATCCTCACCTGAGGATATTTTTTCCATTGATTTTTTTTAAGAGAGAGAGAGGGAGAGAGAGACATCAATGGGAGAAGAGACATTGATTGGTTGTCTCCCACAGGACCCTAGTTGGGACTAGGGATGGAAACTGCAACCCAGGTACGTGCCCTTGACTTGGAATTAAACCCAAAACTCTGGGTGTGGGCTGACACTCTAACCATTGAGTCATATCAGCCGGGGCTCACTTAACCTTTTTGAACACCTCTGCTCAGTCTTTGTTGTTGTTGTTTTTTTTATCCTCACCCGAGGACATTTTTCCATTTTTTGTTCAGGTAGAGTGGGAGGGAGAGAGAGGAAGAGAGAGAAACATCGATGTGAAAGGGACATACCAAGTGGCTGCCACCCGCATGACCCAACCAGGGCCGGGGACAAACTGCAACCGAGGCACATACCCTTAGCGGGAACTGAACCCAGGTCTCTCTGGACCACAGGCCAACGCTCTAACCACTGAGCAAAACTGGCCAGGGCTGCTCAATTTCTTTATAGGGTTGTGTTACAATTAGCTGACAGGCACATAATACATAGGCACTCTTCCATTCTTTGTGACTAGTCTGTAATCTGAAGGACTATTGTGGAGAAAGTAAATTATCTCTGAGTGACTCCAGAAGTAGACAGGTTTGGGCTCAAAGGAAGGAAAACTTTTTGAGTAGCTCAGGCTACATACTGAGTTCCCAGTCTCTGCCAGGCTCTAGAGAAGGGCTCTCAAGTTGGCTTGCAGTTTCATGATTCCATGAACAAAATGGGAAGAGCCTATGTATGTGACGATACAGGCCTATACTGCAGGCCTTTAGAAAATTGGGGTGAGTGAATTATAGCAGCTAAGAAAGACTGTAAGTGTAGGGTGAACTGGAGATCAGAGGAAGGGACTTGGCAGAATATAGTTGTCTTGAGGAAAATATAGGTGGTGTCAGTTCCATTCCAGAAATCATAGGGCAGAGAGGAGAGAGGACCCTGACATGCATGGGTTGGAAGCTACCCTTGATCTCTCTCCACCCCGTCACGCTGTGGAAAGCCTATCAAACCCCAACCACTGGGAAGCTGGTCCTTCCACAGCTGTTGACGTTGGTGCTGCCCTGATGTCAGCATTAAAGCCCAGGAGCTGGCCTGGTTGGAAATTTTTAATCTGCAGATCATTGAAATCCTGACCTGCTTGGCCTTTTCAGGCAACCTGCTGGTTCCCAGTGGGAGGTAGAGTGCGAAGACATCATGTGTCCCTCTGCATCAGTCTAGTAGGCATTCAAAGATGCCAGTCAGATTGTTTATTTCAATGTGATATTACTGTCTAGAGATTTGTTGGACATAGATAACATGCTAAGTTCTCACTGGTTTTCAGGCAAATTTTAGAATGGAATAGGAGAGAAGGTGCCATTTACCCCTGCTGGCCATGCTCCAGCATAATTTGTCATTTTAGAACATTTAGTAAAAGTCACTCTACATGGGTCTGGCCCACCCACAGATGCAAACCAAATGCCTTCATCAGCATCATCAGCTCATGGCTCTGCACCACCCTGAACATGCAGACTGGAGGTTGGAACCCAGGGAACTAGCAGGCCAACAGGCTGGGTTCACAACCTGGCTGGTGGGCCTTTGAGGGTCCCTGGACCTGGAGTGATGTACTTGCTGCCCTGCCTCCCTCCAAGTGGGCTTCATGGCACTTTGTGCTTCCCCCATTATAAGCTGCTTGCCATTTTTTTTACTTTTTTAATCTTCATGTGAGGATTTTTTTTTTTTCTATTTATCTTCAGATAGGCAGAAAGAGGGAGAGAGAAACATCGACATGAGAGGGACACATCAACTGGTTAACCCCCACCAGGACCGGGGACAAGCTGCAACCAAGGTATGTGCCCTTGGCTGGAATCGAACCCACAACTCATTGGTCCGCAGGCCAATGCTCTACCGCTGAGCCAAACCAGCCAGGGCTGCTTGTCATTAAGGTAGATCCCACTTTGGCCTTGTTAGCCTAGAAGGTCAAACCATGGCTTGTTTGTCTTTGTGTCTTTTGTGCCTGTCACAAGTTGGATTTCCTGGGAAGCAACGTGAAATTAGCATGCAGAGTGTTTATTGGGGGGTGCTCCTGGGACCACCACCAGGATAGAGCTGAGGGAGAAGTTGAGTAGTATTGAAGGCCTTAGCCCCACGTTCCGGAGCTGGGTAACCCTCAGAGTTGTCTTGAGTTGAGGCAATGGCTCAGGCAAGCCTTTATTCTGCTGAGTTGATCAGTCTGAATGCTGGCTGCAACCAGGAGGAGATGTGAAGTTGAGAGTGGATGTTTCTTTTTTTGTTGTTTTTTACTTAATTGATTTTAGAGAGAAAGGGAGAGGGAGAGAGAGAAACATCGATGAGAGAGAACATCAATTGGCCTGCATGCCCCCCACTGGGGGTTTGGCCCACAACCTGGGCATGTGCCCTGACTGGGAATCGAACCCGCGATCTCTTGGTGCATGGGTCGACGCTCAACCACTGAGCCACACCGGCCAGGCAGAGTAGATGTTTCTTTAGCTGAGACAGTTTTCCCCGAAGGGGCTGGCAGCTGAGGACTTTCTGCCATCAGCACTCAGCATCTAGGGTAGAAAATTCTTCATTCCCAAAAGGGGCCCTGGGCAGCTCATTACAGCATCTATAGTGACTAGTAAATAGGTACTCAGTAAAAGTGCTTGAGAAATGAGTACTTGGGGGAAATTATTTGAGGAAAAGTAGAGACCGAAATTGGAGGAGAGAGGGAAAATTAAGAAACCAGCAAGAAGGCCATAACCAAAATCCAGTCTTAAGGGCATGGGGCCAGTATGGTGCAGGAGGAGACTAGGAAGGATGGTGTGTGAATTTAGCAAGGGGCTATTTGCTCTGCCCTAATGGGGAAGGACTCCTTTTTTGGGGGGGCCAAAGTTTTGAAAGCTTAGGGGCATAAGAGACAGATTACAGGGAGCCTTTTTTGTTTTTAAACTTCAATGACAGTAAATATTGAGCTCTTGTTGTATAATAGGTACTTTTGTAAGTCCTTTACCCCCACTAACTCAGTCGATCTTCTCAATCATATTCCCATTTTATAGATGAGGAAACAGGAAGTTAACATAGTGGGTGACAGGACTGGGATCCAGGCCAGTCTGAGTCTAGCCTGGAGCTCTTAACTGTCATGCTGTACGACCGCTCAGCTCCTAGTGTGAGTTTGTTCATTCCATCACTTAAAACTCAATTGCATGGGGCAGGGGTGGGAGGTAGGGGATTTGAACAAGCTCTCAGGAGAGCAAGCTAATGAGGAGGAATACCTGGCCTTGGCTGACACACTGGGGGTTCAGTGGTTTGTAATATTAATAACTAAAAGCATGGTATAGTGGAAAAATCATGCACTGGGAATAGCCCAGCTCTACCACTGATAGCATCTCAGGCAAGTCAACCTCTCCTGAGTCAATTACCCTTATCCATAAAATGGGCATAACACAATTTGTCTTGCCTACTTTTTTTGGTCGCTGGAAAGATTAAATGAGACAAAGCCCTGTGTAAGCTGAATAAAATTTTTTTGTAAACTAAAGAGCTATGGATCCAAAGGGTGTCATTTTGTGGATGGAGTGAGAAGGCGGCAGCCTAGGGCTTCTCTGGTGACACAGACTCATACATGTGCACACAAATACTCTAGGCTGTCACAAGATGATTGCCCCAGGAGGGCCACCCACAGCCCTCATCTGCTGAGCTAGGCATCAGAAAGCAGGCATGCTGGAGTATAGCACGAGACTGCCTGGCACCTGCTGAGTTGCATGGGGTAAGGTAGAAATCATGCAGTTGAAGCCCATTCTAATAATATGTATAGGTCATGTCCTGTCAATAATTCTAGGATTTTATTTATTTTTGTTAAATAAATGGGTGGTTTTGAAGTGATTTCTGCTTTACTGTATATAGAGAGGCCTTTGAAAACCTAAATTAAAATATTTGTCAACCCATGCTACAGCATTTTTAACACTTAGGAATGCTTTCACAATGTTCTCTTTTAGTCTTGTCATTTCCATAATCTGTTTTTAAGTGGCTCCTGAAGAGTTGGTCCCTTTTTATAGACTGGAGCTTGAGGCAGAATGATGACAAGTGTCTTAGGTTCAAATGCTTTTGTATATGCAGAGATAGGGCAAGAACAGAGGTATCTGGGCCCCCGGCCTTCTCACATCTCCAGATCACTATTCTCAACTTTGTTCCACATTTATTCAAACAGTGGATGGCATTCTCATGTCACATGCCCATAAGCAACTCAGAGTCATGTCACCTTAATCCTTTTAGAGAAGTGTTCTGAACCTGGAATGAGGGGGAGTAACTGTGAATTTGATTTAACTTGTTTTTCGAGGCAGCCAATTCAAGTCAGAAAGAACTACATTCGAGTTTTTATTCTATTTGGTAATAGCTGTGTAACCTTGGCAAACTAAGCCTCTTAGCACCTCAGTTTCCTGGTCTATAAAATGGGGATGATAATGGTCCTTACATTGCAGGGTTATGATGAATATTAAATAAAATAATACAAGCAAAACTCTCACTATGGTTCCTAGTAGTTTCATAAATGTTAATCATTATGATTGTTGTAACTCTCACTGTTTAATTTTTAGTGAGATATTGTTTATGATTCCCTATGGCTGAAAATCACCATATTTAGTCACGGTGACTTAGCCAAAATGACAGGTACCCACACCTTCTACTTTTTTAAGTCCATCTGATCCAAACTGCCTAAAGGAGGGACGTGTCAATCCACAGTGCCCATCCCAGCACTGCCCAGAAGGGTAGCCTAGAGGCTGCTTCAAACCCCAGAGATCCTAATCCAGATGCTTTCTTATGGAAATGAATGAATCATTCAGGTGCTATCAAAGTTCTAGTCACAGCACACCACCTCCCCTTGTTTTGATTTCATGTTCATGAAGCCATTCCTTGAGGGTCTCCCCTGGAGCTGGCCTAGTAGGGAAAATGTGGCCAAAGCCTAAGCCCTGGACCG